ACCCTTATTCCTAAAACACTGAATTCCTTAAGATAACTGTACATTCCTAAAACACTGAATTCCTTAAGATAACTGTACACTTGCCACCCTTATTCCTAAAACACTGAATTCCTTAAGATAACTGTACACTTGCCACCCTTATTCCTAAAACACTGAATTCCTTAAGACGACTGTACACCTGCCACCCTTACTCCTGAAATTCTGATTTTTTTTAAAGATAAATGTATACTAGCAATCCGTACTCCTAAAATTATGAATTTATTATGAGAACTGTACATTTGCCACCCTTACTCCTGAATTTCTGGAAATAGCAACCTGGCAAGTCTTCAGCTTGAAATGATTGCTAGCCATTTCCAACTCTATCATGCAAGCAGCGTCACTTTTTATTACATGAAAATAACAGTGTTACTGCACTGTCTAAAATTTTACCATTCTCATTCTAATTCTGCAGATTCATTCAGGAAATACCATTACACTGCCTGTCATACACATTAGTCCAACAGTGACAATCATTACAAGTAAATATGGAAGGAAGCATTCTTTGTGTACAAGTAGCAAAAACATGTACCAGAATATAAGAAATCATATGTTGTTCTAAAATTAAGTCTGATTAAGCTATTTCATAACATACTTGTTTTAAACTTGACATTTGTTTTAAGCTGTTTTAGAATATGTTCGTTTAAAACTATTTTTGAATACATTTGGTTCAAGTTATTTTAGAGTATGTTTATTTTAAACTATTTTCGATTACATTTGTTTTAAACTATTTTAGAATATATTTTAGAATATGTTAGTTTTAAGCTGTTTAAGAATATATTAGTTTTAAGCTATTTCCTTATATGAGCTCTTCTGGAATATGTTTTAAGCTGTCTCAGATTACACTTGCTTTTTCATCAACTCTAAGGAATATGGTTAATTGAACAAAACCAGTGATATGTGAAGTGAAGGAATTGATATATATATGGTGGTAGATATGTGTCTGTGACAGACTACAGGAAGTCCTTTACTAGAATATTCAGTATTTTTATATTCCATTCTAGTGTGATCCATGATGCGAGATATATATAAGATATGATAATTATTATAATTAAAAAAAATCTAAAATTTACAAGATGGAGTAAAAGCATTTAAAGAATCCATTCGGTGATTTGTTTTACTTTCAATCTTCATGGCATAATGGTTTATATAAACAAGTTACTTTGATTTACTGTACAGTAAACAAAACAATTTCGATTTTCTTATTAAAGTATCAAATGAAACATGATTTCTTGACTAAAATCTGAACTGAAAATACAAAAATGAAATGTATACATTTGTATAAACTTCTTGAAATCCTACAAATCTCTCTTTTTGATTAAACATTTTTGATAATAAAAATCTTATCTTAAAAAACAAATCGAAGTTTTGATAATTGCTTTCATTGATAGCTTCATATCATTTGAAAGATGTAAGACTACAAGCACTTGAAGGGTTACTAAAGGTCACTGAAAGGTCACTGAATGTCACAGAGATCAATGACATGAAGAAAATTTATCACAAATAATACAAACATGTTCCATCTTGCACAGGGACACATAATTCATTAAAATTCACAAAAATAAAGTCAGCATTTTTTTTAGAAATTATCTTATCAGTGATATGACATAAAAATATACAACGATTCATTTCATTATTCACAATAATACAATTAAAAATCACATGTATTTGGTGTCAAAGACAGAATCCCCTATCATCAACATGTCTACAACGACAGGCAAACAATATAGCACCTACAAGCAGCAGTCACATCCTCTACAACACCTGAATCCAACCAATAAGAACCTTTTTTAACAGTTCAAATTAACTAATCAAGGCCCTGTTTACAGAAGACTTCTAATTCATTAGTTGGTTTCAGATCCACAATAATCGGCACATAAATGCAACTAAGTACAACGACAACTTTAGAAAAGGTAACCGGTTTGACAGGGAAATTTGAAAGTCAAATGATAAACAACGAATACTGTTGTTTAGGAGAATGATTGTTCTTTTTCATGGAATGTTAAGTTACTTAATTAAGTTGTACCTTTCACCCTTAAAATGTGTAGAGACTTTTCAACCAGTAAGCAATTGTGATTTGCACTGAACAGTTCTTTATACTAAAATTTGTTTTTTGATCATAAATAATTGCTGTTTTCTGAAGTAAGGAAGATATCACACCACACTAATCAATAGGTTGGTGTTACTCCTTTTTATCCAAATATTATGATAATATATATTTGAGGAGTCACAAAAAGTTTGATTGGCAAATTCAGACCTTATACCCTTACTACATATACTTAGAGTTAGTTACCCTGTGTATAAAATAAAGGTGCTGAAGTGGAAGTGTGGAATCCTCAAACCAAAAACCCACGGAAAGTTTGTATAAATAAAACCTATTTAGTTTTAATTTTTTTTTCAAACGGCATTTTCAAGTACAGCAAGTGTTTATTCAAATCATATTTCAATTTACCACAGAAGGAATCTGACAAAGTTTGATCTGATAGGTAAAGGTTATGTAGGAATCTGAAGTAAAACATGGCATCTAAATCATACAATAAAAAAGTTGAAAAAGTTTTCATAAGTGATGGGAGAGTCGCAACAAAAATGAGAATCAGAGTTTTCATATAATAGAGAGATTTCCTGAGAGGAGTGATCATATCAAACCCTCATCATGTAATACACAGACTGCAGGCTCACTATACAGACTGCAGTGATTTATCTTACCACATAGACTGTAGTGATATATCTTACCACACAGACTGCAGGCTCACTATACAGACTGCAGTGATTTATCTTACCACATAGACTGTAGTGATATATCTTACCACACAGACTGCAGGCTCACTATACAGACTGAAGTGATTTATCTTACCACACAGACTGTAGTGATATATCTTACCACACAGACTGCAGGCTCACTATACAGACTGCAGTGATTTTTCCTACCACACAGACTGTAGTGATATATCTTACCACACAGACTGCAAGCTCACTATACAGACTGTAGTGATTTTTCTTACCACACAGACTGTAGTGATATATCTTACCACACAGACTGCAAGCTCACTATACAGACTGTAGTGATTTGTCTCATCAAACAGACCACAGTGACATATCTTACCAAACAGACTTCAAGCTCAATATACAGACTGCAGGCTCACTATACAGACTGAAGTGAGTTATCTTACCACACAGACGGTAGTGATATATCTTACCACAGAGACTGGAGTGATATCTTACCACACAGATTTCAGTGATGTATCTTACCACACAGAGTGCAGGTTTACTATACAGACTGCAGGCTCAATATACAGACTAAAGTGATTTATCTCACCACACAGACTGCAGTGATGTATCTTACCACACAGACTGTAGACTCACTATACAGACTGTAGTGATATATCTTACCACACAGACTGCAGGCTCACTATACAGACTGCAGGCTCATTACACAGACTGTAGTGATGTATCTTACTACTGACTGCAGTGATATATCTTACCACACAGACTGCAGGCTCACTATACAGACTACAGTGATATATCTTACCACTGACTGCAGTGATATATCTTACCACACAGACTGCAGACTCATTATACAGACTGCAGGCTCACTATACAGACTACAGTGATATATCTTACCACTGACTGCAGTGATATATCTTACCACACAGACTGCAGGCTCACTATACAGACTGTAGTGGTATATCTTACCACACAGACTGCAGACTCATTATACAGACTGCAGGCTCACTATACAGACTGAAGTGATTTATCTTACCACACACACTGCAGGCTCACTATACAGACTACAGGCTCACTATAAAGACTGCAGGCTCACTATACAGACTGCAGGCTCACTATACAGAATGTAGTGATATATCTTACCACACAGACTGTAGTGATATCTTACCACACAGACTACAGGCTCACTATAAAGACTGCAGGCTCACCATACAGACTGTAGTGATATATCTTACTACACAGACTGCAGGCTCACTATATAGACTGCAGGCACACTATACAGACTGTAGTGATATATCTTACCACACAGACTGCAGACTCATTTCCAGACTGCAGGCTCACTATACAGACTGCAGGCTCACAATACAGACTGCAGTGATATATCTTACCACACAGACTGTAGTGATATATCTTACCACATAGACTGCAGGCTCACTATACAGACTGCAGGCTAACTATACAGACTGCAGGCTCACAATACAGACTACAGTGATGTATCTTACCACACAGACTGTAGTGATATATCTTACCTCAGACTGCAGGCTCACTATACAGACTGCAGTAATATATCTTACCACACAGACTGTAGTGATATATCTTACCACATAGACTGCAGGCTCACTATACAGACTGCAGTAATATATCTTACCACACAGACTGTAGTGATATATCTTACCACATAGACTGCAGGCTCACTATACAGACTGCAGGCTCACTATACAGACTGCAGGCTCACAATACAGACTACAGTGATGTATCTTACCACACAGACTGTAGTGATATATCTTACCTCAGACTGCACTGATTAATCTCATCAAACAGACCAGTGATTTATCTTACCACACAGATTGCAGACTCACTATACAGACTGCAGTGATATATCTTACCTCAGACTGCACTGATTAATCTCATCAAACAGACCAGTGATTTATCTTACCACACAGATTGCAGACTCACTATACAGACTGCAGGCTCACTATACAGACTGTAGTGATGTATCCTACCACACAGACTGAAGTGATTTATCTTAACACACAGACTGTAGTGATATATCTTACCACACAGACTGCAGACTCATTATACAGACTGCAGGCTCACTAAACAGACTGCAGACTCACTATACAGACTGTAGTGATATATCTTACCACAGAGATTGTAGTGATATATCTTACCACAGAGACTGTAGTGATATCTTACCACACAGACTGTAATGACAGTTTCTTTAAAATATTGGTCAAGACACTTTATATAAGATTAATGACTACGTCTTGTCCCAGTCATATCTGACGAAAATGAGATGTGTATTTTTGTATTGTATATAAAACAGGACTCTTCCAGGCCACTCTATCCTCCTAATGGTATAAGGTAAAATCCGGAAAGATAATGTCTCACAGTCACACTGCCTTTTAGTGTTGAAATTTAAGGATGTGAATGATGTGAATTAGCTGACCACTATCATGTCTTTCTAGACTTGGACTTGCTCCGCCCTGTATCCTTCGCCTTGTCCTTCGCTCGACGTCTCTGTATCTGTTTCTGATGCTCCTTCTCCATGTCTCTCTCATTGATGTTCAGTCTCAGTGTCTGGGAAAGAAGAACTCAAAACTCTTAGATTGCTGGTTATCTTGATAAGCTTTTTGTTACAGATTTTATTAAAAGATTCTAGTAATAAAACTAACAGTTGCAATGAACCTTTATTTTCATCAAAATATAGATCTTTAATTTATATACTTCTATACTATAAAAATATAAACTTAACTGATTTTACCAAAATTGTAAAACAAAATAGTGGAACAATCTTACAGCTGATATTATCCATCCTTATTTGTCATGATGATTTGTTTTTTACTTTGGATAAGAGCCAGTGTACCCAGGAAAAGGTCAGTGTGTTACCATTGCTCCATCCAACCTCCACTTTCAAATTTCTATAAATCCCTTCCCACATGTATCTTAAATATAAAACCCTCCCATGCCTACCTCCTATGTAAGACCCCCACACATCCGACTCTTTTAAAAGCTCTTTCCATGCTTATTTACTGTATAAGCCCTCCAAAACATACTTGCTGTATAAGCCCTTCCCACATCTACTTTCTGTACAAGCTCTGCCCACCCTCAATTTCTGTATAAGCCCCTACCAAATCCTCTCTTTGTATAAGCCCCCCCTCCTTTACATCCACTTTCTGTATAAGCCCCTCACACATCCAATAACTGCAAAATCTCCTCCAACACTTATTTACTGTATAAGCCCATGCTTCATTAATTACTGTATAAGCCCCTCCTGCACTCACTCTCTGTATAAGCCCCACCTACATCCAATAACTGCAAAACCTCCAACACTTACTTTCTGTATAAGCCCCTCCAACACTTACATAATGTATAAGCCCCTCCTCCACTTCTTTTCTGCATAAGTTTCTCCCATACTTACTTTCCGTATAAGTCCTTCTTATGCTTACTCTCTGTATAAGCATTGTCCACACTTACTTCCTGTATAAGCCCCTCCTATGCTCACTCTCTGTATAAGCATTTCCCACACTTATTTCCTGTATAAGCCTCTCCCATGTTCACTCTCTGTATAAGCATTGCCCACACTTACTTCCTGTATAAGACCCTCCTATGCTCACTCTCTGTATAAGCATTGCCCACACTTACTTCCTGTATAAGCCCCTCCTATGCTCACTCTCTGTATAAGCATTGCCCTTGTTAATTCCTGTATAAGCCCCTCCCATGCTCACTCTCTGTATAAGCATTGCCCACACTTACTTCCTGTATTAGCCCCTCCTCTTCAAGAAGATTGAGTGGTAGCCGCCTGAGAGCTTCCAGTGTTTCGTACAGTGAAGGACACTTAGAAAGTGTGCCAGGCTCACCAAGAGCAAGTCTAACTAAGACCAATGCCACACGGAACAACACCTTCACTCCTGGAGTACAAAAGAAAGTAAGTAATGGTGATTAATTCTTTCATACAAATGAAAGTCTAAACATATAAACCTGTAAATCATTCACTACAAAGACTTAGTGATATTAGCAATTAACCCCAGAGGTCTCTACACTTGGTATTGTTAACATAAGACGACTGTCTTCAGACATAAGCTTTATAATAACTTTACATTTCACAAAAATGTAGAAATTTGATTCGTGGCTTTCATCAACATTACTGGACATCAGGTGTTAATGTTTAAAATTGTGCTTTATAATGCTGTTAATGAACAGAGTTTGCCATAAGCAAAATGTCAAACTTGACCACCATAACTTCTGAACAGGAACATTGACCAAAATATTGCAGGCCACTAGGTAACAATATTAACCATTGTTTACTGTTCAGATATATATCTGTGATTTTCACTTAATAAGATCCCTCAAACACTTTCTCCTAGTGAAGCGTACATAACTTATTGGCCTGTATCAGGTAAGCAGTTCATCTTTAACTAGTGTTATCCTGAATTAATTGGCTCACCTTCACAAAAGAATACATCCCATACCCGAAGCACACTGGACCAGGGAAGTGTACGTGTGAACACACACATAAACCACTCTGTCATGTAGAGTATAGGGTAGACTTCCTGCTTCTTCTGTTGTTATAGAAACAAAACACACATGATGTATGATTAACAATTACATCACTAACTTCAATTACAAGCCTTTACATGATATGTACCAGGTGTTCATCTTTCACTAACATGTCTTCCATTCATATCCCAAATTCTGTTTTCACATCATCATAATTAAGTTCTTTGAATCCAGTTATTGATAAGCCCACCAACACAGGGGATACCTCAAGTATTTCTAGTTATACTCATTATAAATTCAACTGGAATCCCTCTGTCCTTTTCAATACTTTCCTGTTTACCATGTAATAAGCCTAGAGGTCCAACACATAACATCTGGCTCAAAGTCAGGAAGTGGGATTATTACAGGACAATAAATCCAGGGGACTTATTTGCCAAAAGGGATGATAACCAGACAGATGATAGATGTAGTATTATTGCCACTTTGATATAGGTTTTATGCCACACAGATGATAGATATAGGATTATTGCCACACAGATGATAGATGCAGGATTATTGCCACATAGATGATAGATTTAGGATTATTGCCACACAGATGATAGATTTAGGATTATTGCCACTTAGATGATAGATGCAGGATTATTACCACTCAGGTATAGAATTATTGCCACACAGACGATAGATGCAGGATTATTGTCACACAGATGATGTAGGATTATTGCCACACAGACGATAGATATAGGATTATTGCCCCAAAGATGATAGATATAGGATTATTGCCACTCAGGTATAGAACTATTGCCACACAGATGATAGATGTAGGATTATTGCCACTCAGGTATAGAATTATTGCCACACAGATGATAGATGTAGGATTATTGTCACACAGATGATGTAGGATTATTGCCACACAGGTGATATGTAGGATTATTGCCACTCAGGTACAGGATTATTGCCACACAGATGATAAATGTAGGATTATTGTAACACAGATGATAAATGTAGGATTATTGTCACACGGATGATGTGGGATTATTGCCACACAGATGATAGATGTAGGATTATTGCCACTCTGGTATAGAATTATTGCCACAGAGATGATAGATATAGGATAATTGCCACAAAGATGATAGATGTAGGATTATTGTCACACAGATGATGTAGGATTATTACCACACAGGTGATATGTAGGATTATTGCCACTCAGGTACAGGATTATTGCCACACAGATGATAAATGTAGGATTATTGTAACACAGATGATAAATGTAGGATTATTGTCACACGGATGATGTGGGATTATTGCCACACAGATGATAGATGTAGGATTATTGCCACTCTGGTATAGAATTATTGCCACAGAGATGATAGATATAGGATAATTGCCACAAAGATGATAGATGTAGGATTATTGTCACACAGATGATGTAGGATTATTGCCACACAGGTGATATGTAGGATTATTGCCACTCAGGTACAGGATTATTGCCACACAGATGATAAATGTAGGATTATTGTAACACAGATGATAAATGTAGGATTATTGTCACACAGATCTCTCTCTCTCTCTCACACAGATGATAGATGTAGGATTATTGCCACTCTGGTATAGAATTATTGCCACAGAGATGATAGATATAGGATAATTGCCACAAAGATGATAGATGTAGGATTATTGTCACACAGATGATGTAGGATTATTGCCACACAGGTGATATGTAGGATTATTGCCACACAGATGATAAATGCAGGATTATTGCCACATAGATGATAGATTTAGGATTATTGCCACACAGATGATAGATTTAGGATTATTGCCACTTAGATGATAGATGCAGGATTATTACCACTCAGGTATAGAATTATTGCCACACAGACGATAGATGCAGGATTATTGTCACACAGATGATGTAGGATTATTGCCACACAGACGATAGATATAGGATTATTGCCCCAAAGATGATAGATATAGGATTATTGCCACTCAGGTATAGAACTATTGCCACACAGATGATAGATGTAGGATTATTGCCACTCAGGTATAGAATTATTGCCACACAGATGATAGATGTAGGATTATTGTCACACAGATGATGTAGGATTATTGCCACACAGGTGATATGTAGGATTATTGCCACTCAGGTACAGGATTATTGCCACACAGATGATAAATGTAGGATTATTGTAACACAGATGATAAATGTAGGATTATTGTCACACAGATGATGTGGGATTATTGCCACACAGATGATAGATGTAGGATTATTGCCACTCTGGTATAGAATTATTGCCACAGAGATGATAGATATAGGATAATTGCCACAAAGATGATAGATGTAGGATTATTGTCACACAGATGATGTAGGATTATTGCCACACAGGTGATATGTAGGATTATTGCCACTCAGGTACAGGATTATTGCCGCACAGATGATAAATGTAGGATTATTGTCACACAGATGATAAATGTAGGATTATTGTCACACAGATGATGTAGGATTATTGCCACACAGATGATAGATGTAGGATTATTGCCACTCTGGTATAGAATTATTGCCACAGAGATGATAGATATAGGATAATTGCCACAAAGATGATAGATGTAGGATTATTGTCACACAGATGATGTAGGATTATTGCCACACAGGTGATATGTAGGATTATTGCCACTCAGGTACAGGATTATTGCCACACAGATGATAAATGTAGGATTATTGCCACTTGAGTATAGGATTATTGCTACCAAATATCTGGTGGGATAGTATATCATGCAGAAAGTCACACTGTGGCCTCAACAATATAAAAAAAATTCTGCTTCATATTCTACTGCTGAAATATTTCAGATTGCTTTACTAAACTAACAAGAACCATTTTAAACCATCTCTCTCTCTCTCTCTCTCTTAGTATAGAGTATACAGTGTTAACTGGATACCCCTGGTTTTCCCGTGGACAATGTATACCAAGATACCACTAATTAGCCCATAGACTTTATAGCTAGACAGCTGTGGTTAACCAATTGACAGTATATCTAGACAAATCTCGTTAATCTGTTGACAGTATATCTTGACACCTCTGCTTAATCTGTTGACAGTATATCTTGACACCTCTGCTTAATCTGTTGACAGTATATCTTGACACCTCTGGTTAATCTGTTGACAGCATAGCTAATCAGCATTTGTAAGTCTGTTGACAGTACAATGTGACCAGTCGGGATGTCAAGATTAAACTGTGGCAAAATAGAGGAAATTTGAATTAAACTTGATACTTACTAAATGTTTATATATTGTAGGGGATGTTCTCTTTACAAGTCCAAACAATACATCACCATCTACTTGTACAGCTTCCTGTCAACACAAACAAATTTGGAATTAGTTAAAATTGGCAGGTAAGTTTAAAAGCATCAAGTGATATGACTGTTGACTGTATAACCTTGACTAATGATTAAACATACACCTATAGTTAGCTGTGGCTATCATTAACATAAATCAGTGATTAAACATACACCTATAGTTAGCTGTGGCTATCATTAACATAAATCAGTGATTAAACATACACCTATAGTTAGCTGTGGCTATCATTAACATAAATCAGTGATTAAACATACACCTATAGTTAGCTGTGGCTATCATTAACATAAATCAGTGATTAAACATACACCTATAGTTAGCTGTGGCTATCATTAACATAAATCAGTGATTAAACATACACCTATAGTTAGCTGTGGCTATCATTAACATAAATCAGTGATTAAACATACACCTATAGTTAGCTGTGGCTATCATTAACATAAATCAGTGATTAAACATACACCTATAGTTAGCTGTGGCTATCATTAACATAAATCAGTGATTAAACATACACCTATAGTTAGCTGTGGCTATCATTAACATAAATCAGACTTCATTATAAAGTATAATCAGGCAATATACACTGACCAGCCCTGGACTGAAATAACCAGGTAGGTACTTCTCACAGATGGACACGAGACACCAGAAGGCCTGTTCTGCAGGCATGTGCATCAGTAGGACTGCAGCGATAGGAGCCTGTGCCTGACAGTATCCATCCTTAGGGTTGTGGATAGTGTACGCCTTCAGAATCTTAAACAAGTCTTCCTGACTGTGAAGGTAAAACAAAGTCAGAATCAAACAAGTATACATTCTTTATCAAAGTAGATATTTGTACAGGTAAAATGGACAGGTAAATTCTTGATTAGAAAAAGTGTAATACTGAAAATATATGTCTAGCTCTTGTAAAATAAACATACCCATATCCATCTTTACTAGTGAACATCTCGTGTAGGGGAAACTGTCGGTGTAGGTCTTTCTTAATGTCGTCCATCCACTTGGGATCTCCAGACTGCTGTAGGTAATTCTGTAGATACAAAATGTCACAATGTATATACAAACCATTACACTAGTGTACTGGAGACATAAATCATTACACTGTAGACACAAAGCACCACAATGTAGACACAAAGCATCACACTGTAGACACAAAGCATCACAATGTAGACACAATGCATCACAATGTAGACACAAAGCATCACACTGAAGACACAAAGCATCACACTGTAGACACAAAGCATCACACTGTAGACACAAAGCACCACACTGTAGATACAAAGCATCACACTGTAGACACAAAGCATCACAATGTAGACACAAAGCATCACAATGTAGACACAAAGCACCACACTGTAGACACAAAGCACCACACTGTAGACACAAAGCATCACACTGTAGACACAAAGCATCACACTGTAGACACAAAACATCACAATGTAGACACACAGCATCACACTGTAGACACAAAGCATCAGAATGTAGACACACAGCATCACAATGTAGACACAAAGCACCACACTGAAGACACAAAGCATCACACTGTAGACACAAAGCATCACAATGTAGACACAAAGCATCACAATGTAGACACAAAGCATCACACTGTAGACACAAAACATCACAATGTAGACACACAGCATCACACTTTAGACACAAAGCATCAGAATGTAGACACACAGCATCACAATGTAGACACAAAGCACCACACTGAAGACACAAAGCATCACACTGTAGAGAGAAAGCATCACAATGTAGACACAAAGCATCACACTGTAGACACAAAGCATCACATTGTAGACACAAAAATATACTGTAGACACAACACATTAGATTGTCAATACAAAACATTATAATTTAAACACTGAACATTACACACAGACACAAAACTTAACACTGTCACTACAGAGCATTACACTGTTAGCATAAACCATTACACCAACAACACAATACATTATTCTGTAAATATAGAACATTACACTGTAGACAAAAAACATTACAATAAGGACACAAAATATTACACTTAGGACACTGAACATATATTACACATATTACACTGTCGACACAAAACATTACACTGTAAATATAGAACATTACACTGTAGACACAAAGCATTACATTACAGACACAAAACATTACATTACAGACACAAAGCATTACATTACAGACACAAAGCATTACATTACAGACACAAAACATTACATTACAGACACAAAGCATTACATTACAGACACAAAACATTACATTACAGACACAAAACATTACATTACAGACACAAAGCATTACATTACAGACACAACACATTACATTACAGACACAAAACATTACATTACAGACACAAAACATTACACTGTAAATATAGAACATTACACTGCAGATATAGAACATAACACTGTAGACACAAAACATTACATTACAGACACAAAGCATTACATTACAGACACAAAACATTACATTACAGACACAAAGCATTACATTACAGACACAAAACATTACATTACAGACACAAAACATTACATTACAGACACAAAGCATTACATTACAACACAAAACATTACATTACAGACACAAAACATTACATTACAGACACAAAACATTACACTGTAAATATAGAACATTACACTGCAGATATAGAACATTACACTGTAGACACAAAACATTACATTACAGACACAAAACATTACATTACAGACACAAAGCATTACATTACAGACACAAAACATTACATTACAGACACAAAACATTACACTGTAAATATAGAACATTACACTGCAGATATAGAACATTACACTGTAGACACAAAACATTACATTATAGACACAAAGCATTACATTACAGACACAAAACATTACATTATAGACACAAAACATTACATTTCAGACACAAAACATCATACTGTAAATATAAAACATTATAATGAGATCACAAAACATTATAATGAGATCACAAAACATTATAATGAGAGATCACAAAACATTATAATGAGATCACAAAACATTATAATGAGAGCACAAAACATTATAATGAGAGATCACAAAACATAATAATGAGATCACAAAACATTATAATGAGAGATCACAAAACATTATAATGAGATCACAAATCACAAAACATTATAATGAGATCACAAAACATTATAATGAGAGATCACAAAACATTATAATGAGATCACAAAACATTATAATGAGAGATCACAAAACATTATAATGAGATCACAAAACATTATAATGAGAGATCACAAAACATTATAATGAGATCACAAAACATTATAATGAGAGATCACAAAACATTATAATGAGATCACAAAACATTATAATGAGAGATCACAAAACATTATAATGAGATCACAAAACATTATAATGAGATCACAAAACATTATAATGAGAGATCACAAAACATTATAATGAGATCACAAAACATTATAATGAGAGATCACAAAACATTATAATGAGATCACAAATCACAAAACATTATAATGAGATCACAAAACATGATAATGAGAGATCACAAAACATTATAATGAGATCACAAAACATTATAATGAGAGATCACAAAACATTATAATGAGATCACAAAACATTATAATGAGAGATCACAAAACATTTTAATGAGATCACAAAACATTATAATGAGAGATCACAAAACATTATAATGAGAGATCACAAAACATTATAATGAGAGATCACAAAACATTATAATGAGATCACAAAACATTATAATGAGATCACAAAACATTATAATGAGAGATCACAAAACATTATAATGAGATCACAAAACATTATAATGAGATCACAAAACATTATAATGAGAGATCATCAGAAAACAGTATAATGAGATCACAAAACATTATAATGAGAGATCACAAAACATTATAATGAGATCACAAAACATTATAATGAGAGATCACAAAACATTATAATGAGATCACAAAACATTATAATGAGAGATCACAAAACATTATAGATGAGAGATCACAAAACATTATAATGAGATCACAAAACATTATAATGAGAGATCACAAAACATTATAATGAGATCACAAAACATTATAATGAGAGATCACAAAACATTATAATGAGATCACAAAACATTATAATGAGAGATCACAAAACATTATAATGAGATCACAAAACATTATAATGAGATCACAAAACATTATAATGAGAGATCACAAAACATTATAATGAGATCACAAAACATTATAATGAGAGATCACAAAACATTATAATGAGAGATCACAAAACATTATAATGAGATCACAAAACATTATAATGAGATCACAAAACATTATAATGAGAGATCACAAAACATTATAATGAGATCACAAAACATTATAATGAGATCACAAAACATTATAATGAGATCACAAAACATTATAATGAGATCACAAAACATTATAATGAGAGATCACAAAACATTATAATGAGATCACAAAACATTATATTTAGAGATCACAAAACATTATAATGAGATCACAAAACATTATAATGAGATCACAAAACAGTATAATGAGATCACAAAACATTATAATGAGAGATCACAAAACATTATAATGAGAGATCACAAAACATTATAATGAGATCACAAAACATTATAATGAGAGATCACAAAACATTATAAGAGATCACAAAACATTATAATGAGATCACAAAACATTATAATGAGAGATCACAAAACATTATAATGAGATCACAAAACATTATAATGAGATCACAAAACATCACAAAACATTATAATGAGATCACAAAACATTATAATGAGATCACAAAACATTATAATGAGATTACAAAACATTATAATGAGAGATCACAAAACATTATAATGAGATCACAAAACATTATAATGAGATCACAAAACATTATAATGAGAGATCACAAAACATTATAATGAGAGATCACAAAACATTATAATGAGATCACAAAACATTATAATGAGAGATCACAAAACATTATAATGAGAGATCACAAAACATTATAATGAGATCACAAAACATTATAATGAGATCACAAAACATTATAATGAGAGATCACAAAACATTATAATGAGAGATCACAAAACATTATAATGAGAGATCACAAAACATTATAATGAGATCACAAAACATTATAATGAGAGATCACAAAACATTATAATGAGATCACAAAACATTATAATGAGAGATCACAAAACATTATAATGAGAGATCACAAAACATTATAATGAGATCACAAAACATTATAATGAGATCACAAAACAGTATAATGAGATCACAAAACATTATAATGAGAGATCACAAAACATTATAATGAGAGATCACAAAACATTATAATGAGAGATCACAAAACATTATAATGAGATCACAAAACATTATAATGAGATCACAAAACATTATAATGAGATCACAAAACATTATAATGAGAGATCACAAAACATTATAATGAGATCACAAAACATTATAATGAGAGATCACAAAACATTATAATGAGATCACAAAACAGTATAATGAGATCACAAAACATTATAATGAGAGATCACAAAACATTATAATGAGAGATCACAAAACATTATAATGAGATCACAAAACATTATAATGAGATCACAAAACAGTATAATGAGATCACAAAACATTATAATGAGATCACAAAACATTATAATGAGAGATCACAAAACATTATAATGAGATCACAAAACATTATAATGAGAGATCACAAAACATTATAATGAGATCACAAAACATTATAATGAGATCACAAAACATTATAATGAGAGATCACAAAACATAATAATGAGAGATCACAAAACATTATAATGAGAGATCACAAAACATTATAATGAGATCACAAAACATTATAATGAGAGATCACAAAACATTATAATGAGATCACAAAACATTATAATGAGAGATCACAAAACATTATAATGAGATCACAAAACATTATAATGAGAGATCACAAAACATTATAATGAGATCACAAAACATTATAATGAGAGATCACAAAACATTATAATGAGATCACAAAACATTATAATGAGAGATCACAAAACATTATA